ATGAATTAGTTGAACTTAATAATCATATTTAAGTAATGTGGTTAAGTAAATGGTTATTGAACTCAAACTATGGGGTGAGAAAATTAAAATGAAAGTTTTACACGTGCCAATTTAAAAAAAAAGTTATCGATGTTTGTATTTTGTTTATGCTAATTCTCTTACATGTAGTTTTTTGCGAAGAAATATTTCATTTATTTTTTAAAGTAAATGCCAGTAAAAGTAAATATAATTTTTCAACAGTAATATAAAGCACTTAATATAAATAATTTTGATTTCTAATTTTTTATTTATATTTTTCTTCCATTACATTGTATGCTTAGAAAATTAATAAATGTTTATATTTCATGATTTTAAAATTTGTTGTTAATATAACAAATTAGTTCTGTAATTATTATTATTATTTAATAAACCAACGTTGCCCCCCAAAAAATTTAGAGAGTATATTATTTTTAAATAGGATCTAATATAAATAATTTTCACATCTAATTTGTTGTTTATATTTTGCTACTACTTAAAAAAAATATTTATATTAAATGATTTTAAATTTTGTTGTTAATAGGTATAACAAATTATTACTGTTATTATTATTTATTAAACCAGTCTTTGCTTAAAAACATTAAAATCATTTTCCTACATCCAAAATAACAAGTATTATTGCAGTGTAACAACAGAATATTAATAAAATGCGGAATATATAGACATACTATCCCTAACTAACTAAAGTCAAACAATAATATTCTTTGCTAATATCAACTGATACCAAAATATGGCAACAGCGCCCTTCATAATGTATTTTCTGTATAAATACTAGCACCTCAATAAAAAAATGATGTGTCCTTATCTATATCTGACTCCGCAAAAAATCAAAGATGCCGGCTTCTTTCATAGCATTGCCACCGACCGCTGTCGGGTTTCTCGGAAAGAAACCTACGTCGCCGTGCGACAACTAAAATTCAGTTAATATTTTATTATAATCGATCCTGACGAATAAATGAATTTCATAAATGAATGAATTTTATAAATGAATGGTTTTTGCTGCCGAATTACTAGAATACAATATTTCAAGGCAGATGACGGATCTATTCGATAATTTTTATTCGAATAGTTTTCAACGAATGTTTTCTTACTAACTATCGAATTATTCGAATGAATTGCAACTATCGAATGTTTCGATAGTATTCATTCGATAGCTCCCACTACTAGTTTATATCGTTTGGGTCGCTTTTCATATAGCACCGAAGCGAAGGTGCTTAACAATATGTATCACTGGTCCAAATCTACCCTTGATGCAAGTAATTCAGCACCAAGATCGTTGGTCGGTAAATGATTAAGCAGGAATTCCAGGATGGCGAATGATTGGACTTTTTAATTATCAGAATGAAATGAATTATCCATAATTTCTAAGAAATTAATTGCCAATTTTGTTAGGGGACCACCAATCATGATGAAATTGCATTTGTTGCAATTTTATCAACTGCATTAACTACACCAACTGCATTCATAGTTGGTGCAGTTGTGCCTTTTATTTTGCTGAATCTGTGGGATTTTTTGGATACCACTTACATTAGTAGATAGAGACGCTGAAGCGGCATTTTTCCATGGCCAGCTAGGTCATCGGATTCGATATGCCTGGGTTAGAATTTAAGAACGAACATAAATAACAATTAAATGATATTAAAATGAAATTAAAATATAGTATGTTTTGATATTTTGACGTAACCAATTTACCTCTAGCCTACTACTATAATCACATCCTAAGCGGCAGCCTAACATGATTTGTTCTCTTAATATCTCCGGTTAGAGAGAACATAGAAAGTTGCGGTTTGCGCTGATATTTTGGAAATTTTGTGCTCTATTTAACTGTGCAAAGAAAAATATAGCCCCCCATTTAATTTTTTATGCAAAAGCGCAATATCTGTCATGATGTCAAACAGCACCCTCTAGCTACCACGAGAAAAAAAATATGGAAACAAAATGTATACTGGAGATCATTAAGGAAGAAAAGCTCTTTTAAACGAGCCCTAGTTTGTTTAAATCGGATAACCTAAACCAGAGTTATCCTTATTTTAATAAAAGCAAGTTACCTTCCCCCACCACCTTATTTTATGAGATAGAGCAAAATACTCTATATCAAAAAAATTACAAATTTCTCGATAATTACAATAGTAATATTTAAAACACCTGCATATTTTTGAGAAAAATACTGTTTTCTGATTGGCTATCAGAGAAACGCCCCTTACAGCGGACATTTCTCGAACTTGAAAATAATTTCTTGCGATTTCTCTTGGTCGATTTACTTATTAGAATTTTTTTCCCAAAGTTATACGGTAAGTAGTTTCTGAGATACAGCCGCAACCTTGTATTAACTGGGTTAACAATTTTAAAAGAACCATTTTTTTAGGCAGAACGCATTATTATCAAAAGTCAAATTGTATTAAAAAAGTATTATTTTCAATAAGAAAAAAAGTTTTTCCTCTTGTAAAGAAAATCCGGGGACATACTGTAGGCAAATTTTCCAAATTGTTTTCTTTTGTTTATATAGATAAATATAGTCTTTTGTTCATATTTATAATAAAAATACATGTTAACATTATTAGATTAGATTAGATTCTTAGAGGTGGCTTTCGGCCTGATCCACTGCGACCTTCTCAGATCTATTGTGGTCCTCTTCTGATCCTTAGATTACATTCTCCAGTCCTATCCTTTTAACAAAGTTTAGCAACTTGGAGACTGAACCCTCCATGTAGCTCCTTGGCAATGGCCTATCATTAACATTATATGTTATTAATACATTGTTAAATGTCCCTTTTTACTTGTTAACTGGGATTTTGATCTCTCTGCCCAAATATGATTATTATGCCGGTTGAATATACCATCACTTGAAATTCTTGACTCATCGCTTCAGATAATCTGATCAAACAAGTAATTTTCTTCTAACATTCCCAAATACCAATTACAAAACTCGATTCTGCGTCTCCAGGATGTAGAAGCTGGGTTTTCCTTGCTCTTTAGCATTTATATGCTATAGAGCAAGACTGAAGAGCTAACTGCAACCATCAAAGGTATGTTCCGATCACCATGACAACCGTTTACTTTGTTACTCGACGCGGCCTATTACTAACTGGATATTTTAGCAGAATCAGGAAATTTAAAAATATTAGGGTTCTATTTAAAAAAAACATATGTATAGTTAATATCTAAAAAAATATTTTTTTTCGAAAAAAGTCTGACTACGCCATTGCATTCTACACAGAAAAGTGCCTTTAGAATGTATAATTGGGAATTTACTAAAATTACTATAATAAAAAATTAAAAGCAACGAAAAAAAATGGGTAAACATTTTAGAGAGAGAGAAAGAGTGCATTTTATCTATAAAACACAATACATAAGGTTTTACATTAATACATTGACAGTAATTGAATTCCGAGGTAAAAGTCTCCGGGCACTACACTATCCACTATACAGGTTGGTCGGAACTGTATTCCGGAAACTTCGGCAGCATATTCGGCAGATAAAAATAAGTAAAAAAGTTCGTGTAAATGTATGTCCTAAGATACTTACTTTCTGAGATACAGGGTGTAGAAGTTTCATTTTTATTTCGATTTGTTCTAAATAATTTCTGGGCAACGGCCCAGCTTCGTCGAAACACCGGTTCCCATTAGAACACCGAAGTTAAGCGACGTAAGGCAATACTAGTGGATGGACGGGTGACCGGTTCGAAACTCTGTATCGTGCTGTTGTCCAAAAAAAGGCAAAAGTGTAAAATCTATTGCCACACACTGCTCATTCACGCCGGTTCAAGGCCGGATGAGATCGGATATCTCGTGAGTAAGAGTCGATTTAGACACTTGCCAAGTCGGTAGGCCATTGATCATGATATGGCCGAGGACCGCGGTTCGGATTCCGCGTAAACAAAGTATAGGCCCCGTCCAGATTAGCCATGGCAGCAAAAAGGAGACGTTAACTGAAATCTTTACTTTACTTTTTTTTAATAATTTCTGAAGTAACGTCAATATATGGAAGAAAATTGGTGTCTGAGAGCTTTTTGACATGAGAAATTTGAATTTGGTGTTAATATGACTGCTACTAGTAGATGGCGCCACCTACATACATGTGTTTTAACTGTTTTAAAGCGTAATAACTTTTTGTCCGTACCTGTATAAAACTACCAAGTGAAAAATATACATCTCTGTGACTTTTTACGTAAAAAATATCTCTTTGTAAAAATCGCTACGAGCAACCGTTCTTAAGATATTTAAAATGGAAATAGACACTACATGTCATTATCGACGAAAAATAAACACGTTGAGTAGATAGTTATTTCACTCAAATAATAAATTTAGGAAATTTTTATTTTTTTTTAAATTAATCATAAGTTTTTCTGCAAAAAATGATGATAAAACAGTTTCTGTTGAACTTTTGGCACAAAAACATTTCGAATTTATGATTTCAGTCTAATAACTATTTAGTCAACATATGTTTAATTTATGTCAATGATGACAGGTATTGATAATTTCGATTCCAAATATCTCGAAAACCATTACTCATAGCGATTTTTACCTTTTAGATCTTTTACACGTAAAAAACGTCGTAAATGTATATTTTTTACTCACTAGTTTTATACAGGTTGAACGAAAAGTTATTACTCTTCAAACCCGTTAAAAAATATGTAGGTAGCGCCCTCTACTAGTAGGAGTCATGTTAACATCAAAATCAAATTTCTCATGTCAAAAAACTCCCAGACATCAATTTTCATCCAAATATTGACGTTACTTCAGAAATTATTCCAACTTCTACACCCTCTATCTCTGAAACTAAGCATTTTAGGACATACATTTTACGAACTTTTTAACTTATTTTTATCTGCAGAATATGCTGCCGAAGTTTCCGGAATATAGTTCGGACAACCCTGTATATCATCTTCGATTATTTTTAACTCGTCTTTTGTATTTGAAACCTAAAAATAAAATTTAGTAATGAGATTACTTATGTTTTTTTAGGATGATATGGTAGAAATCACATATATGCCAGGTTCACCACCCTCGGAAAATGAGTCCGCTAGAAATGCCACGGTCGATCCGCTAGAAATGCCACCAGCTACATTCCCAAAAAAAACAATAATTAGTCCATCTTCTATAAGATCGAATAGAAGCCAATTGGCAGAAATATCATCAGTGGTCCAAGACTTGAAAGATATACGTGATAGAAGTTTGCCGATTTTTAATGAAACGGATTATGATCTCTTCTGCAAATGCGTTGCGTCGCAGTTAAAAAAACTGTCAGAGGAGCAGGCGTCGATTGCGCAAGAACAGATCCAGAGCGTATTAACACAATGCAAGCTTGCTGATTCGCGCCATAGATTCAAACGCGACATAGATTCAAAACCGTATAAATATTCTTTTCAGTAATGCTTAGTTTCAATTATTTATATCAGGGTTGGCTAATATCATGATATTTATATAAATATCAAATATCGGATATACAGGGTGGTCCGAACTGTATTCCGGAAACTTCGGCAGCATATTCTACAGATCAAAATAAGTAAAAAAGTTCATATAAATGTATGTCGTAAAATGCTTAGTTCTGGAGACACAGGGTGTAGAAGTTTCATTTTTATTTCGATTTTTTCCAAATAATTTCTGAAGTAACGTCAATATTTGGATGAAAATTGGTATCTGGGAGTTTTGCGACACGAGAAATTTGATTTTGATGTCAAAATTACTCCTATTTGTAGGGGGCGCCACCTACATGTGTTTTAACTGTTTTGAAGAGTAATAACTTTTCGACCGTACCTGTATAAAACCACTGACTAAAAAAATATACATTTCCATGACTTTTTATGTAAAAAATGTCTCTTGGTAAAAATCGCTACGAGCAACCGTTCTCAAGATATTTAGAATGGAAATAGTCAATACATACATTATTGACAAAAATAAGCACACGTTGAGTATAGTTATTTGACTGAAATAATAAATTTTTAGTTTTTTAAATTAATCATAAGTTTTTCTGCGAAAAAATGATGATTAAACAGTTTCCTTTGAACTTTTGGCACAAAAACATTTCAAATGTATGATTTTAGTCTAATAACTATTTAGTCAACATGGTTAATTTATGTCAATGATTGATCAAGGTATTGATCAGTTCGATTCCAAATATCTCGAGAACCATTACTCGTAGCGATGTTTACCAAGAAACATTTTTTACGTAAAAAACTTCGTAAATGTATATTTTTTTACTCAGTAGTTTTATACAGGTACGGACGAAAAGTTATTACTCTTCAAACCAGTTAAAATATATGTAGGTAGCGCCCTCTACAACTAGGAGTCATATTGACATCAAAATCAAATTTCTCATATCAAAAAATTTCCAGGCACCAATTTTCGTCCAAATATTGACGTTACTTCATAAATTACTTGGAAAAAATCGAAATAAAAATGGAACTTCTACACCCTGTATTTCCGAAACTAAGCATTTTAGGACATACATTTATAAGAACTTTTTTACTTATTTTTATCTGCAAAATTTGCTGGTGAAGTTTCCGGAATACAGTTCGGACCACCCTGTATATCTGATATATATTCGATATACACTATCGCTCGTATGTAGAGCAACTTTGAATATTGTTATTTTTTATAGAACAATGACAGTCAGACACTAAATTATTATTAGGGTATTTATTATCTAATCATGATGCATACACACTCATAATTAAATGTTTTAATGAAAAACTGAAATATTTATGCTAATTTTTACAAATATGTAGGTCAAATGTAGAGCAACAAATTAAATTATTAATATTTGTATCATCTTAATTAATATCTGGTAGCATACCCTTTATTCTTAATAGCTTGTAAAGATCGATTTTTCATACAATGTAAAAGCTTATCAATATAATCTTGAGACACAGCGTTCCATTGGTTTTGGACTTTTTCATAAAGTTCTGTTAAGTTTGATAGATTTTTCTTATGAATTGCCCTGTCAATTTCATCCCACAGGTTCTCAATTGGGTTGAGATCTGGACTCTGGGCTGGCCAAATCATTACATCGACATTATTTGCCACAAACCAATCTTTTACTAATTTGGAGGTGTGTTTCGGGTCGTTATCATGCTTTAGTGTCCATCGCAAACTCATGTTATCCTCGGCAAATCGAATCATGTGGTTTTCTAGAATATCACGATACACAAAACGGTCCATTATCCCATCTACTTTCACTAATGGGCCCATGCCAAACCCCGAAAAACATCCCCATTACCCCACCTCATCCATGCTTTACAGTAGCTCTTGTGTATTTGGGGTTAAAACGTTCGTTAATAGGTCGCCTCATCCAAGAAATTCCATCAGATTAAAGAGTTTAAAACGACTTACATCGGAAAATAAAATCGTTTTCCATTTTTGAAAAGACCAATTCACATGTTCTCTAGCAAACCGAAGTCTAGCCTGTCTATTTTTCCTAGATATAAACGGCTTTTTAGCGGACTTTCTACCATATAAACCAGCTTCTCTTAGTCTTCGTTTTATGGTACTAACAGATACAGAAACTTCACCAATTTCTTGTTTTATACGGGATGCACTCATAAAGGGGTCATTAGCAGAAAGCATTTTAATTTTTCTGTCAATAACACTAGTAGTTTTGCGTTTCCTTCCACTGTTGGGGGCTGCTTCTAAAGTATGTCTTCTGTTAAAATTGGAAATAGCTCTTGATACTATTGATTTGTTTAAATTTAAATCTTTTGCAATTTTACATCGTTTTTCACCTTGTCTAAACTTTTCCAAGATTTTTTCTTTAATTCGTTTGAATAAATGGATACCTCTTGGCATATTATGTATAATAAAAACTATAGCTGAATATGACCTATCAAAATCACAATTTAAAATGGACGAATTAATACAGTTGCTCTACTTTTGAACCCCACAGCAAAAAATTCAGAATATAAGAATTTTCTTTACAATCGTTGGGGGTATTTATGGTAAGGTATGTATAGCTAAGACCAAATATAAATGTTTTATGATAAAATTTTGAAGTCACTGCTTTTAACATTTACAAAATTTTACTTTTGATTTTGTTGCTCTACATAATATGAGCGATAGTGTATATCAAGTTTTGATATTTATTTTTGTTTTTATTTTTTATGTAAAAAAGCTAAAATTGCGTTTAGTATCAAGTAATATCAAGAATTCAAGCAAATATTTTTATTTCAACTTAATTATTGTTGCTTTGTACATAATAGGAACAACATTAAAACAAAAGTAATATATAAAAAAATATACAGAAATTCTAAAAAAATAAACAGAACTTCTAAAAAATATACAGCAATTCTAAAAAATAAACAGAAATTCTAAAAAATAAACAGAACTTCTAAAAAATATACAGGTATTCTAAAAAATAAACAAAAATTCTAAAAAATAAACTGTAATTCTAAAAAATAAACGGAAATTCTAAAAAATAATCAGGAATTCTAAGAAATAAACGGAAATTCAAAAAAATAATCAGGATTTCTAAGAAATAAACGGATATTCTAAAAAAATAAACGGAAATTCAAAAAAATAAAACAGATATTCTAAAACTAACAACAAACAAATATTTGATTTATTAATGAAAATCATCGTCGTTTGGTACATTTGAATTGTCCCAGATTTGTTTTTTCTTTCAGATGAGTTTTATTTTTTTATAAATATCATGATATATATCCGATATATATATCATGCCAACCCTGATTTGTATTGTTTTAATGTTTCGTAAATTTAATTAATTATTAATCGTATAAATTGTGATTATTTCGAAAATACGTGCAACTGTTAATGCGCATGCGCAAACTAAGGTCCTTGGAGAAGATAAACATATTGAACGTTTCATAAGTGCAATAAAGAAGGTTTGAAAATGGCATGGAGACATATATTTTAATGCAAAACTTATGGCGCTGATTTATCCACGTAAGTATATACCTATTATCTAGGATTGTTAAATATCATATTTTCTGGTAACTATCATCACCCTTTCCGTAGCATTGAACTAAATAAATTTTGTGCTTCTTTAGCGTTTGAAATCTTAATTTTCTCTAAAACAGTATGGAAAAGTATAAAAGGGATTAACCATTTTGGAACAAGCAAGAATTTTTATGAAGAATGCATGTTTCTCAAAATGTCAATAGTAAAAAAGTTTTTCCTCTTGTAAAGACAATCCGGGGACATACTGTATGTTATCGTTCTGTACAAAACCAAAAAAAAAATCTAATAATCCTCAACTTATTCGACATATCGAACGAAAGTAAAATGAAATTTATTCCGACGCTGAGAGAAAGTTGAAAAAGAGAGAGATGCTCTGGTAGCAGCGTGCATTTGGAAGTTTTCAGAGGCTTTCCCGGAATTTTCCAGCAATCGATTGGTGTTTTTGCTGGAAGAAGCTTAGTTTCGAATTAAAAATGGAGTAACACACAAACCAAAAGTATTCCTTATGATTTTCTTGGTGCGTTATAACGATTCAAAAACTTGATATCGATTACTCAAACTGTTACTAAGATTAGTTTAGATAATTTTTTTAAGATGTGATCTCTTAATTCTAGATTACGTTATCTAGTCGTATCCTTTTCACAAAGCTTAATAATCTGGAGATTCAACTTTCCATATACTTCTTTGTTCTTTATTTAGAAACTAGCGTGTACCAGCGACTTCGTTCGCGTCGAATTAATCATTTGTAATGGTGATGATAAAGCAAGGCAAGAATTTCCATTAACCTACAAACTGGATAAAATTTTCTCACATTTATGTCACCATGAGAAAAAACAATATGGCGATATTATTATATAACTTTGTAATATTTGAGGGGTAGTTTCATCTCGTTGGAATTTGACTTTCGAAAAATCCTTTTGCCAAAAATAAGCTTTTTACGTCAAGCAGTTTAAGCAGAATCGTGGTTAAGAAATTACCCAACTTTTTGGAACACCCTGTACGACCCTGTATGATTTTTTAAAAAATTTCAAAATATGTAAAAAAAAAACAAATAAATTATGCTTGTCCATAGCGTTTTCCCGAAAGACTAACCGTTTTTTAAATAACAAATATTGTAATATTTGAGGGGCGTTTTCACACTCTTGGAATTTGAGATTCGAGAAACCCGTCCTTATCGAACCTCTATACCCGACAGTCAATCCGTTTGCCAAAAGTCAGCTTTAAACGCCAAGCAGTTTAAGCAGAATCGTGATTACTCACTGGTCATATTTTATGAAACACCCTGTATAAATTTATAAAAAAATTTAAAATATGTAAAACAACAAAATAAAATATACGTGTTTAAGAGTTTTTTCTGAAAAACTCACCGGTTTTGAAATAAAAAATATTTTAATATTTGAAGGATACTTTCACCCCCTTAGAATTTGAGTTTCGAAAAATTCCTTCTTATCGAACCTCTACACCCTAAAGTCAATCTGTTTTCCAAAAATCAGCTTTTTACGTCAAGCGCTTTAAGCAGGATCGTGATTAATTAATGACCAGATTTTTCGAAACACCCTGAA